CCAGTTCAGCTCCATACAGGAAATGTTGTGTCTAAAGTTCTGGTCCAGTCAGTCTGGTTCTGGTAAATAACCATGAATCAGGTGTTTTAATGACTTCCTGTTTGTTCTTCAGCTCCTGTTTCACGGTGTTTTACTAAAATCAGTGACACTTGTGAACCTGTTTCACTTACAGGAAGCGGAAACAGTCTCTGACAGGAAAAGGGGCGGGTTCTGAAAGCTGCTCTCTGATTGGTCGGCTGGATTCCACCCTCGGGCAGGTCCATGTCTCCGGGGCTGTTGGAGCTTCAGCTTGAAGACATGTAAGAGTTTTAAAGAACTTTTATCTTCTGTTGAATCAGCTTTATAAAGAAAAAGGTTTATTTTTACGGTGTTTATTAAAACTCTGCAGCTGCAGCTTGAAGAGGAAGGAGGAGCCGTGTTCTTCAGCGGTTCTACCCTGTTAGTTAGCAGCTATCCGGGTCCGGTTCGGCTCGGTCCTGCTCTGGGTCAGATCCGTCCTCTCAGCTCTTTATTGATCGGTGATCGGTACCGTCCGGAGCTCAGGCAGCCGCTTCTCCTCTGCTCCTCGTCCCGTCGACTCCAGGCAGGAACATGCTCCGTGTGGCGGGGGCTGCGGGCCGCTCCTGGAGGGGGTAAGTCCCGCTGAGCTCCGCACGTGAGCCGGGCACGAGACTCCTCTGACCCCAGTCAGAGCGGAGCCTTTGATCTGTGCACTCACCTGTCAGTCACCTGATCAATCACCTGATCAATCACCTGTCACTCACCTGTCAGTCACCTGTCAATCACCTGATCACTCACCTGTCAGTTTTATTAGTATTTTATTAGAACATGTACAAACAATTATAACAACTCACAAAGTTACACAAACTAACAGAGCAGAGCAAGAGTTAGAAATCAGAACATCAGGTAAATAAATACAGAAAAATAATAACTAAACTAAATAAACAAGTGTAAATAAAGAATTAACAGGGATTATGTGTTTTAGGATTAACTGGTGGTTAATATTCCACCAGTAATTCAAACAGGTCGTCATAGTTTTTAACATATTTCATAGATTTAAACAGATCTGTATTCAGATAAAACGTGCTGCAGACTGGACATGACCTCTTTGTTTATGAATAAATAATATTGTTTGTTATAAAATCAGATTACAACAGAGTTATATTTTTATCTTGTTAATGTTATCATGTGTCTACAGACAGATTCAGGAAGTGTCGTTTTCAGTTTTAACCACTTTTCAAGGTAATCCCAACATTTTTAGATCTAGTTACATTCATAAAAAATGTGCTCTATTGTTTCTATATTCTTTTCATAAAAACAACAGTTATTGTCGTCAGTGTTAAAATGATTTCTTTGCTCTTTAAAAGGGTAAATTTCATTTAAAGTTTTAAAGTGTGTTTCTTTAGTTTCTGGTTGTACCGAGGAGTTTAAAGTTTAAAGTTCTTAATTTTTCAATAGATTTTTTTTCATATTTGCAAAGTTTGTTAATTTTATTAATTTTCCCAGGAATAATGTATCATTTAGACACTTTCTAACTGTGGTTATTGAATGTTTTGTCAGTGAGTGAAACACCATTAATCTGGGGTTAAATGTGGGATTATGGGATGATTATTACTTTTATACTTTGAGTTAGATTATTTAATAGTTTTAGTAAGGCTTTAAGTCACCTGGTAAATTCCATTTTGGGAGATAAAAATGAAAGTTTTCACACGGAGCTCATCAAAGAACCACCATGTCACAGGCTGCAGGTTCACTTTAACCTCAATGAATCAGGTTCTGGTTCTGGTTTTGAGAACAACTTCAGTCTTCTGGGTCAGTCTGAGTACTTATACACAGGTTTACTCCACTGTTCTGAAGGTTCCTCTGATGTTCTGAAGGTCCATCCTCTGATGTTCTGATGTTCTGAAGGTCCATCCTCTGATGTTCTGAAGGTTCCTCTGATGTTCTGAAGGTCCATCCTCTGATGTTCTGAAGGTTCCTCTGATGTTCTGAAGGTCCATCCTCTGATGTTCTGAAGGTTCATCCTCTGATGTTCTGATGTTCTGAAGGTCCATCCTCTGATGTTCTGAAGGTCCATCCTCTGATGTTCTGAAGGTTCCTCTGATGTTCTGAAGGTCCATCCTCTGATGCACGGCCTCATAAATATTTAGAACCTTTAACATTTCAAAGCTTTACAAACAAACGTTCTGAGGGAACGTTGGTCCTGAAACTGTTTGTTGTTGCAGAAGAACCACACAACTCAAATGTCCCACTCCTTACTGGACCTTAAACACATCACACATGTAACTGTGGGAGGAGCCAAAGAAAGAACCTCACGTGCACGCTCCAGCTTGTCTGTGCACGGCTGTAACCGGACCTGGACCAGAAATAGTTTGAGCCTCTGTGGAACCAGACTCAGGCGGTCCAGCTGTCCGGTTCTGATAAGACCAGAGCCTGCTGATTGGACTGGTGGTACCGTATCACCAGCACCCAGGGTCACTGAGAACAAACACAGCTGGACTGAGGTCTGGGTCGGTTCTGTCCACCCAGCTGGTTCTGCCCCCCCCCCCCCCCCAAGAATCAGCTCAGAGTTCAGGTCCTGTTGTAATCAGACCCGACTGTGCAGAACCGCCCTGCTGAGCCACTTGGTTCTGATCAGGAACATGAGTGAAGAGAAGGGCTGAGTCCGACTACAGGTCCTGGTTCTGGTCCTGGTCAGTCTGAATCTGGATCCGGAGCTTTTTAGGCTTAAATTTAGAGAAATGTTGAGTTTCTGTCGGACCAGCAGTTTAGAGTTCTGACAAGACGTGTGCTGGGTTCTGTCAGGAACCGGTCGGAGGTCCGCTTTGGTTCAGTCAGACTCTAACTGTGAGCACGAGGTCTGCAGCTGCTGGACCAAGTCCAGATAAAACCAAGTCCAGTTACTGATACACAGGTTCCAGGTCAATAACCCAGGTTCTGTTTGTTCATTAAACCCGATGAGCCTTCTGTTGGACCGGGTCTTCTTAAAACCCTGCAGGTCCCAGCAGGACCTGATCCCTGACCAGGTTACATTTAAGACCTTACTCTTCTCTCTGCTGCTGTAAGAACTTCTCTCTGCAGCTGTAAGACGTTCTCTCTGCAGCTGTAAGACGTTCTCTCTGCAGCTGTAAGACGTTCTCTCTGCAGCTGTAAGACGTTCTCTCTGCAGCTGTAAGAACTTGTCTCTTTATGTAGCTTTATGAACTTCTCTCTCCTCTCTTCAGGTTTAAGAACTTCTCTCTGCGTCTTTAAGACATTCTCTCTGCATGTGTAAGAACTTCTCTCTTCTCTCTGCAGGTGTAAGAACTTCTCTCTTCTCTCTGCAGGTGTAAGAACTTCTCTCTTCT